TTTGTCTGTCCTCACACAGAGGGGGGTGGTTGGTCACCTCTGTGACTTGCCATGTGACTGAAAAAGGGGGATGGGGGTGGGGGGGTATGGGGGTGATGCAGAGACCTTAGAACTAGTTGTGAGCCAAACTTGTATCCTCCTCTCTGGTCATCATGTCAAGATGAAATATGGACACTTCCCAATGTCCAAAAACCATGATCATGGCATATGACACAACATAACTGTATTTGTGTGTATAGATTAGTCATTACAATCCCTTTGAGCATAAATCTACTTGGTTTCAGAAGGATAGCTTCTTTGTGTGTGTTTGTGTGCAGGTGTGTGTGTGTGTGTGTATGTGTGAAGGTGTGTGTGTGTTTGTGTGCGCAGGGGCGTGTATGGGTGTGTGTGTGCGCCTTCCTGTGCCTGTATCTGTCTGTCTGTCGGTCATAGAAGAAAGATTTTCTACTGGATATTAATCGTTTACATTTCTTCCTCCTAACTAGATTACTGACACAGTGACACCACAGCCAAATCAGAGGTTGGGGAAGGACAGGAAATCTGTTGCAGAGATCTTGGGAGTACCCCCACCATAAAAAAACCTGACGCCAAAGAGCAGAAAGCCCTGGAGAACCCAGTGGCAAAGTGGATTGGGCGTTCTGGCCTGCCTGCAAGGACCATTGAGGATGAAGATTTTGTGGATATAATGAAACAAGCCGACAAAAGGTTCAATGTGTGCAGTGTGATATGTGTTAAAAAGAGAATCAGTGTGTGATGTTCTATTCTGCACAGTGTTATATAAATAAAATACAGAAAAACAGAAGCTGTGTGAAGAATTTTTATTCTGTACAGTGTAATATATATATATATATATTTTTTTTTTAAAGCAGTGTGTGGAGAAGTTCTATTATTTACAATGTTGACAAAAATGACAAAAATTTGACTAAGACTAAAATTGATTTTTGTCATTGTAACTAAGACTAAATTGAAAAAACACTGCCACAGAATGCAGTTCCTTGTTTCTGGAAGTTAACTAAACTTCCTTTTTCAGAGTTTAGCAACGTTTGTTTCCAACATAATCTGTGTGGTAAAGATTGTCTACATATGCCTGCTATTAACATGACATGCAATGTAAGAAAAAAAAAAATGTCCACAGCCTCCTTCCTATTTCTACAAGCACATGTCATAACACCACAGGAGCAGCATATCGATACTTCTATAAAACTACAAGAGTTAAACTATTGTATGAACATATTATGAGGGGTTTCTTTCTACTGCCCTTTTATTACATTTTAGACATGTAGATTAAAGGAAATTGAGAATTTTTTTACAAATACATGTTTCCTTTATTAAAATATCAGATAAAATGTTCAGAGATTGTGTAGAATTCCACAGAAACCCAACATTATTTATTTAATTGCTTCATATAAAGAGGGGTTTGTAAACTGTTTTAATAATGATTTTGAACACAATCTATGCTTGGCTGAATCCCAGGTTCTCTGAGCTCCTCACATCGCAGCTTTTTTAAATCTTTCAGCCCATTTGGTTTATATGATTGATCTTTAGTATTTCTACAGCTTAGGTGGCAATAAGGTTTATGTTGAGTTTATAAGATGGAGCTCAACTTCCTTGTGTATGTGGTTTAGTCCTTATTCATTTATACATTTCTATAAGTGGCAAACAATTTTTCATGTAGGAACAGGTTTGGTTCAGATAGTTTTTTCACCCAAAAGAGTGAAATTGAAGTTGATTTGTCTGAAAAAGAAAAAAAGAAATCTGTGCGTGCGTTTTGAGGAGGGCATATTTTTGTGCGTGTGTCCTATCTGGCAATGTGGAAATATGAGTTGTTGTCCTAATGCCAGAAAGAGCCCAACATTATCACTTTCGCCAAAGTGCTCTCCTTGATTTATATATGTAAATACTTTTATCAGGGTTTATGTAGGGAATAATTAATGTTATGTAGACACTACAAAAAATGGGAGAAAAGTTGAAAAAAGATAAAAGAAAAGAGAGATATTGACAAAACAGCAGTCTGCTTCATCGCTGCAAAGAGAGATATAAAAAAACAGCACAACCAACTGATATAGAACTACAGATGCAACATACATTATTAATTTATACGGAACGCATAAAGTGGTACCTAAAGATAAAAATTGGCTAGCAGCTAAGTAACCGGGTTCAAGCACCTGTAGGTGTTTTCTGAGACATCTATTTAAAAAAATAAAAACCTCTTATAGTAGCCAGGTGTTGAGATTTTGAAGCTGTATCCAGCTCATTCAGGAGATAATGAAGAGCATCAATAAAACATTGCTTCACCACAGCTGAAAAAAGTGGAAAATGTCTCAGCTCCTATTAATTTAATCATTTTATCATCATTCTTTGTTCATATGAAAATCTGTTACCACATCATAACTAATTTTCAGTAAACTTGTTGAATTTTTATTCTTAGCAATTTCTGTTTATGCTAAAGCTGTTCTACCAACAAGCACATGCACAGAAATGTACAGCAGCAGATATATGCAATGCAATGCAGAAAAAAATATTTTTTTTAAAAGAAAAATATATGGTTAGATTAATTTATTTTATATAAATATTTTGACATAATCATTTGACATTTTTAATCTTATAGTTTAAAGATCAAACTGAATTAATAAATGAATGGCAGACAAAAAGAGGCTCATATTTTGTAAACTTTAATTATCAATACATTTAATAGTAACCGAATAATACTGTGCTGTAAAAAAAACTTTTAACACTTCTGCTCCGAATTAAAAGAAAATAAAGCATGCATTATATGCTACAAAATATAACATTTTACAAAGGAGGCAAAGCTTTGTAGGTCGCATGATTGTTTAGATAGCATTGGGCTAATAATATCCAAATTATAATAACATACATATAACATACATATCCTCACTGTCATATACCCCAAAACATAGCTTTCACTATCAGGTGATTCAGGTTAACAACTGGGCTAATAAATTAATATAAAATGAAATTAACGGATAAATAACATTTTCCATTTCATCCATCATTTTTGTATGTGTCTATATGATAGAGCCGTGATCTTAAATTAAAATGGTTAAAGATTCCCATTAGTGCCTTTTCTCCCAACAAGGGTGGTCGTCAGTCTATCGCAGGGCAACTCAGAGACACACAACCATGCACACACACACTCACACCTAAGGCCAATTTAGAGAGGCCAGTCAACCCAACAGTCAGGTTTCTAGAATGTGGGAGGAAGTCGGAGAACCCAGAGAGAACCCACATATCCAGGGGGAGAACCTGCTACCCAAAGATTTTACCTAAATAGATATATTGATCCACAACAATTCAATAGATAAACCCCTAATGTTATCATGGTTACAACTCTATGTCAATGTCAATGCCGTTTTGAGATGTATTAGTTTGACTGAATATGTGTTTTTGATATTTCTAAAAAAAAAATCCTTGTCAACACTGGAAAAATAATCTAGAAAAGAGTAAAAATTTCTTAAATTAAGTGTATTTACCCTTAATTTGACTAGGTAAATGAAATGATTTGCCAATAGAATTAGTATTTTTACTCTTAGAATAAGGTGTTTAGATAAAATGCACTTGAAATAAGACAATGTAATTGTGCTTTCTTATTTTAAATGTAAATTGTCTTGTTCCATTGGCAAAATGTGTCTTTAACCTTCTCAATTTAAGAACAAATGCACTTATTTTAAGAACAAATGACTTATATAGATTTAGATTTTTTCCAGTAAAAATGTTAATGTCAAACAAAATGACATTCTTCACATGTAAAATAAACATTCTGGATTTCTTGAAATGATTCATTCATATTCCTATTGTTCCTGGTCATTATTTTTATAATTTTGACTATGAATGACATGTATGTCAGATATCATAAACACATATTCAGTCAAGCTGATAAAGGTCAAAATGGCCACTTAAAATATCTAAACATTTCTAGGTATATAGAACTTAATCCTTACATGTACAGTTTAGGTTTTTACTTTCTGAAATTCAGTTTATGCTGGCAAAAACGTGATTTAGAACATCTTTTATTAGAGTTCAGTTTTTCGTGATATACAAATGGAACAACACAGAGGAGAGTGCTTTTAATAAATGCTCTGTCTTTTAAACAATTTTAAAAATTCTTTTTCAAAATTCTGCATTAACATCTCTAGTTCCAGTGGGTTGAAATAGACACTCCCTGTTGCCTGTTGTCATGGTGACTCGTCAAATCGGTGCTTCACTGATATTGGCTTTTAATACTTGTTACACGCATGTTTAACTCTGAGTGGACCTACTTAGAGTTGATTAAACTAATTCATAGCAGCCGTTGTGAAACCCAAAACTAAGACTTCCCGGGCTTATGCTAGATTAATTAGAGTTGAGGATTTTAATCTGAGTTTGTTAAACCTGCTTAACAAACACCTGGTGTCGGTGAGACTTAACAAAAAGCCTCCCTCTTCTCTGTTATATTTTCTGAGCCGATTCTATATATGCAGCTATGGGTTGTTAAAAGTTGTACCTATATAAGTCTTGACCAAATAACGCAATTTTCTGGGACACTGCACGAAAAGTTTATTCCAAGACTATTGCCTCATTTACACTAGCCCTCTGAAATGATCTGTGCCGAGTTCAGACCGCGTTTGGATCAGGTAACCATGCTAAGCTTGGTTGTTACAACCATCTACACATCATAGCACAGCATAGCACAGCTCTCAAGACGGTAATTACACAAAAAAACAAAAATGGCGGCGCCCTTGACATTCAGGAACTTGTGTGCCCAGATAGAGTCCTCTGCCAAATGTGCAATGAGAGCATCAATCTGGGCATCATTCCAGGTCACACCACGCTCTTTCAATGTAATTTATCATTAATAGGTTGAGAATAAGTTTGTGTTGGGAACAGGTGAAGAGATCTATGAATTGTACAGCCGGACAGACATGAGTCAGCTGACTGTAAATAGGAGTTGAGTCTGCTCTTGTGCTCCTGGATATAAGAGAACCGAGCCAAAACTAATGCTAGATTTAGCACGGTTCGGTTGTGTCTGGCACGGTCCCGTTCAATTGCCTTCCATTTACATTTAACAGTTATCTTGTTCACCCTGCTACAACCGTTCTCGGCAGAGTTTCAAAAGGGTAGTGTAAATGGGAAGATTTTCAGACTCCAAACAATGAGAACATTCAAAACAAGGCTGCCAGAAAAAAATGACGTCTTCTTGCTACTGTACATGTGTCTAACAAGCTTTAACCAGCCACTGACTGTGGTCCAAAGCTTAAAACGTGATGTCTAAAAAAGGAAACACATTTTACAGACAACGTGGGCTTTTACAGACAACCCAACATTATGCAAGGGTCTGGTTAAAGGAGGAAGTGTGGTAACAAGACAGCTTTTCTTTTTTTTTCTTCAACCGGAGCTTGCAAGCTCCAGTTCGATGATGTGCTATTTATCAAACTGATGCATATAAAAAGGACTTTTCTTAATTTGAGCATTTGACATATTATATAGGACAATGGATATTTTTATCCTACTTTGACTCAGATTTTTTGGGGGATAGGTTTAAGTATGATTTCTGTGAAGTTTTTTTACATTCACTTGAGCATAAAGATCCTCTGGTCTATCGTGAGTTCGTGTTGAGCTGTTTCCTGCGTTTGATGCTTTGACTTGTGCATAAACCGTTTCCTGTTCCCCACAGTCTTGCAGTGAGACAGTAGAAGCTTCTGGTTCCTTCTTACAGAAGTTTACCTGCCCATAATGGATTTCTTCTTCTGGTATATCAGCTGCCTTTTCAACATCAGCCTCTTCACCTGTTTGATTCTGGAAAAAAAAAAATATTGATGTTATTAAACACCTTTAAATGAGAACTTGCAGCAGTATTGCTTTGAACAGAAGACTAAAAGTTCCCCACCTGAGTCTGTTTTGGATTTGAACGTTTGGACTTAAAGCACCTGGAAGACATTAGAGACAAGTGTTTTAGAGGAAAGTATAAAGACGCAGACTGAAAGTCTGAAAAATCAAGTCTGGTCTAAATATGCATTTTAGTATAAACATTATTAAAACTAGATTTGGTTAAAAGTTGGTGGAATTTGCTGAAGAAACTAAAAAAAAATTTTTATGTTAATAACTTTTTTATTTTTTTATTTTAGAAATAAAACATGATCATAGAAATTTTTTTTGAGTCTTCCCCATCTTGTTTTCTATGAATTGACAGACATTTGATACGTTTTCCCCATAATCAGAATATATTCATATTTCATATTTCACCTTAGAAATATCTGTCAAAACAGATTTTTCTTGTTTGGTTTAAAGTAAGAGCCTTTTAAAATTTAAAAGTTATCAAATAGTTAGAGAAAGACATGTTGCTTAAGAACAGTGTTCAGTAGCAATAGGTAATAAGAGAATTTCATCTGTTTATATTGTTATGGATCTGATTAAACAGCATTAGTTGCCTATACTTACCAAATCATTATCATCAATAAGATGAGCACAATGACAATAATACCTGCAAGAAGCAGAGTCAAAAATAGAGGGTTTCCTGTGCCAAAAGAAAGAAAATACAAGTGGGTTTTGAAAATTGCAAATACATAGAGCTGATATATATAACCACTGAAACCAATGAGGTTCAAGTTATTTAAATAAAGCAAACAAAGGAAATAATAAGTAATATACATATCCTGAATATTTTCAGAAAAAATACCTTTAATATCTAGGATGATCACTGCTGATCTCTGAGTCCCCAGATCATTTCTAGCCTCACAGTAATACTCTCCTCCCTCAGTAACATTGAAGCTGTAAACCTGCCCCACAGATACATTAATGGCTCCATGTTTGCTGTTCCTGAACCAGGTGAAGCTGGCAGGAGGCTTGGCTCTGCTGGAGCAGCTCAGCTCCACCCAGCTACCTGCTGACACCAAACCTGATGGACTGATGGATGCTGAGGTGTCTTTAGGAGCATCTGAGGAAAATGGGACACACATTAACTTTATTGATCAGAAACAGCTGAACCATGACGTGCTGACAGGATCACTAACATGAAACACTGAGAGTCACTTCTGTCTCTGCTGTCTTGTTTCCTCCATTCACAGGATATCTGGCAGAACAGCTGATGTTGTATCCATCATGTGTGTCTGACAGACTGATGGTCTTTTGGATTTTAGTTGTAAAAGTTCCATCTGTGTTTTTCTCTGTTTGTCTCTCAGAGTCTTGTTGGAGATTCCAGGTGAGTTCAGGAGGTGAGTGTGGACAGGGAGTCACAGCTGAGCAGCTTATATTGACAGACTGATGCTCCTTCAGATCACCAACAGGGATATTAATGCTGGGACTCCAAGGAGAATCTATCCATAGACAATTGAAACAACAGTCCATGTTTAAAAATAATTATTATTATCTCATACAGTTTATACCCAGGCACTGAAGGTGCTTTCTTCATAAAGTGTTTAGAATGTAACAATCAAATCAGTAAATTTGACATGGCAAAATTAATTACTAGATGGTCATTGGGGTCTGGAACATTTAACTTACACCTTTAACTATAAGATAAAACAATATATCACACTGTTTATTGGTGAAAAGCAGAAAAAATCTGGACATCTTAAAATATGAAGCAAGAAGCTAACTTTTAAAGAGAACTATAACATCTATTATATAATATAATATGAAGCACAAGTTTGTATCTCTGTCAGAAATACAACATTGGTTCATTAACTTTAATGATTAAGTATCTTTACAATGAGTCAATATATCCCAATTTATTCCTGCTTAGAAGTAAATCATCGTTTTTTTTACCAAAGTTGAAAAATTTAGGTTCCGCTAGATTCAGTTGGTTAAAGGCCACAGTGACTATATGTTGCTTTGGACCTAAATAATTTGGGTCTAAAATATCTAAATTTTATGTCAGATGACTTTGATCTTAAAAACCTGGAAAAATTTCACAAGATATCTTGTCAAAGTAAGACTGAAAACCTTTAGTTTTAACAGCTTAGATTGCATCAACGGCATCTTTATTGACGTCATTAAAATTACTCAACGAACTGAAGCTGATCAAAATTGCTGCTCAGGTTTGTTTCTTAAATTTCTGCTCTGGCCTTGTGTTTGTTAAACAGTTTTTAAAAATATGTTATAAAATACATTTCCGGTTGCTGCTGTGTTCTGAATTAAATTTGATCCCTCATGTTTGCATAGAAGAAGTTTTAATTTCTGTGCTATTAAGCTCTAGAATAAACATAAATAATCTGTTAATTCCTTTAAGTTTTATACAGAAGCTTTTGTTCAAAGACTAATTCATATGTTTCTGTTTAAAATCAAACTTGACTTTTAACTTTTAATTCAACTTGCCACCAGCCACCACTTTTGGAAGGCTACTGTTATCTGATGCCTTTGTTCTTATGCATAAATTCACTGTTCTTTTGTTTAAATCATTCTGGGTTGTATTTTGTATGAATTATTTTAAGGTTATTGCCTTTTTAACTTGCTTTTAAAAACTGAAGTAACTAAAAGAGCTGGGGGAAGGTCTGGCACAACAATAAAAACAAAGTTGCGCAAGGTAATGTAGCTGTCTAGGATAAAAGTGTTTAATTTTATTCTTAATCTAACGCTGCTTTAAAGAAAACAACTTACCTTTAACTTTTACTTGAAGAGGATCAGCACAAGCTGTAGCCCTGTCACCGCTGATTTCAATTCTGAAGAAGTATGTGCCTTCATTACTTGTGTTAACATTAGAAAACAGAGTGGTGCAGTTTTTCTGACTTAGGTTTCCAATAATTTCTATTGGATATTTGTTAACTCCATTGTAAGTGTCGAAGATATTCTTAGGACTTTTAATCCACACTCCAGAAGTTACTTCATTGATTTTAAAGGAATTCTCTCCTTTAAAGCTGCAAGGGACTTGCAAACAAGATCCACTCAGTGCCTCATTCAGGGCGGGTGTAATAATAGAGATGCCTGGTGACGCGCCACCACAATCTGCCAAAACACCTGTAAAAACAAACTAATGATGGAAATA